AGGAAAGTGATTAGTTCCCATAAATCCAACTAGATCGTAGCAATATCAGTTCTTCTCTAGGCTCAAACTATTCTGAATATGTGAATCTTTAATTTCTTCTCTGGGTTCAAACTATTCTGAATATTTGCATCTTTAATGTTATTAGACCATGAGCTCCCTAAGATCAGGCAAGTCTATCTCATTCATTTTTGCAACCTTGCCTCAGCCCCAGCCCCTAACATGAAACAGTCACTTCATAGCCATCTGCTGAACTGAATTGAACTTTTTTGTATTTATCCAGAATTCCAGATGGCTCTCAGCTTTATGATGTAATCCTTCACAGAAGATGTGTTTTCACTCTAGATTTTGGCTTTCTCATTGAAATTCCTCATCAAAATATTTTCTCTTGCTTGGCTGATTTTTGGAAACTGAAGTAGGTGTAAATATGATTCTGTTATGATGCCAAGACTTTATTCCAACTTGACTAACTGATTGATAATCATGTCCAAAAGTTAGCATTCTCTGCTAGAAAATGATGTTAGCATTCAGAAAATGGAAATAAAAGAATAAAATAAATCTGTTTTTCTCCAACTAACCTAAACACTTCAGAATTGATGTTGAGGGCTATTCTGCATGCAGAGAGGAAAAAGACCTTCCTGATATGTGTGGAATCAGCTCATCTGTATTTTCCATTTTAAGGGGAAAAAAACCATAACCCATCATTTGGGGCACATTTGGTAAAAACTTCATCCTTCTAGAAAGAACATGATTTTTTTTCCTATGAAGTTAAATATTTTAAGGTCAGTACTCCCAAGAGCAGTGGACTATGCATTTGGTACTCTACCCTAAATGGCCTTCTCTCCTTCTGCTCTTTCTAGACATCTCTGTCCTTACTACACCCCTGGCAACAAGCCCCAAATCACATCCTCCAGCCTGTTTCATAGGAAAAGGCACCTTTTTTTCCTTTTGCTCAATACCACCTCTGCTTCACCCTACCCACACACAAACTCAGGCCACACAAGCAACTCTTAGAACCAAGGTCAGTCTTCCCCAGAGTCCATTTATGAAGAAATTAGGTGGTTTCAGGTTTTCTCCAGTAGAGTGATAGAAGCAGCTGTGTTTCTAAAAATTCTGATTAATGACCTTCAGTGTGGGAATTTTCTGTCTGCTATGTAAACATAATCCAATCTTTTTTATGGTGTACTAAGTCCAGATTTTTCCAATTAGATTTGTTTCCTAATAATAATGATATTGGCATTCGGAGAGCATATTGTAGTTTTAAAAGCAATTTCATTTATATGATCTAACCTAGGATTTCTCCAACAACTGAATCTCTGGGGCCTTTCATTCTACTATGATTTCCATTTTTTTCTTTCCATTTTTCCCTCCCATTTTTATGATGTTTAAAAGGTTTAATAAAAAGCATATCTTGTGTCATCTAGAAGACTGTTATTCCCACATAGTGCCATATGGCTTCAGTGCAAACCATAGCATGTGACACAATCCCATCTGAAATGACACATTTTGGCTTCCTATGTATTGGTAGGCATGTCTAGCTGCTCTTAGATTTGTGGGTTGTAAAGTCAGCCTGTCAACCTGCATCACTATCACCATTGTGGATTTGGAAAATCCAATCTTCAACTTGGATTTTTTCCCCAAACCCTCTAAAAATAAAACTAGCATCTACCTTGCAGTCATAATTTGCAATTGCAAGACATGCTGATGACTAAGCCTTGAGCAGCTGCTGCTGCTGCTGCTGCTTCTTCTTCTTCTTCTTCTTCTTCTTCTTCTTCTTCTTCTTCTTTTGACAGGCAGAGTTAGACAGTGAGAGAGAGACAGAGAGAAAGGTCTTCCTTCCGCTGGTTCACCCCCCAAAATGGCCGTCATGGCTGGCACTGCACCGATCCGAAGCCCGGAGCCGGGCACTTCACCCCCCACCCGGGTCTCTCCCATGCGGGTGCAGGGACCCAAGCACTCGGGCCATCCTCCACTGCCTTCTCAGGGCACAGCAGAGAGCTGGACTGGAAGAGGAGCAACTGGGACAGAATCTGGCACCCCAACTGGGACTAGAACCCAGGGTGCTGGTGCCACAGGAGGAGGATTAGCCTAGTGAGCTGCGGCGCCAGCCAGCCTCTAGTTTCTTAAGATACTTAGTAAGCCAGGATTTGGTTCACTACTATGAAAACAAACCAGTGCAGAAAATGAAGCACTATTTTAACTGAGAATATAATATAGGTGAACTCAAACATGAAAAGATCTCACGGCAGCCAATGTTACAAATGAAACTTCAGTTCACTAAAAAACTAAGATTTTACAATAGTTGCAATAGAGATTTGTGGTCACACAGGAGATTTCATGGAGTTCAAAAGACATACCTGCACCACTTCTTTTTTTTTTTAAGATTTATTTATTTATTTGAAAGTCGGAGTTACATAGAGAGAGAAGGAGATGCAGAGAAAGAGAGAGAGAGAGAGAGAGAGAGAGAGAGAGAGAGGTCTTCCATCCACTAATTCATTCTCCAATTGGTTGCAATGACCGGAGCTGCACTGATCTGAAGCCAGGAGCCAGGAGCTTCTTCCGGGTCTCCCACATGGGTGCAGGGACCCAAGGACTTGGGCTATCTTCTACTGCTTTCCCAGGCCACAGCAGAGAGCTGGACTGGAAGTGGAGTAGCTGGTATTCTAACCGATGACCATATGGGATGCAAGCACTGTAGGTGGAGGCTTTATCCACTACGCCATAGCGCCTGCCCCTGCACCACTTCTAATTCAGCTCCCTTTTAATGCACCTAGGAAAGCAGCAGAAGATGACCCAAGTCCTTGGGCCCCTGCACCCATGTGGAGACCTGGATGGAGTTCCAGGCTCATGGCTTCAGCCTGGCCCAACCAATCCCAGTTGTTGCAGCCATTTGTGTGCAAACTAGCAAATGGAAGATCGATCTCTCTTTCTTTCCTCGCTTCTTCTCTAACTCTGCATTTCAAATAAATTAATAAATCTTTTTAAAGTCTAAAGAACTTGCCCAGCCCATCCAGCCAGTGCTCCATTGGTATCACAAGTATGCTCAGATTTTGTCTTTGAATTTACTGACTTGCAGCAGTGTACCATAGTGTACGTATAAGTAAGTATACCATGAAGGATTTTTGGTTGGATTTTCTGTATTTTGACAGTGAACAATTAAATTGCTTGGCTCATCAATTAATCATAATGTCAAAAACAAATTTATCTGTTAAAATCTAAATAAATAAATAACCAGTTATAGTAATGACAATGACTCAAATAATAACCCACTGCACTCAGAATTAAAAATATTAAGTAAAAAGTGACTAAATTTTTCTATTATTTAACTCAACCTATGCTCTTCAATTTCACCAAAATGTCTTCCAGTAAATTTAGTTAATACCATTTGTTGTGTATTACTTTTATAATTTTATTGTATTGAATAAATAAACACATTTAGCTGTTATTTTACTATCATAAAACAACAATTACATAAGAATGATGTATATATCAACTCTGGGTAACATCAATAATTTTCTTCTCTCTCTTTAAGAACCCTACAGTACTGAAGTTGGAGAATTACCAGTCTAAAAATAAAATAGATTAACAGTAAACTTTTTGATTTATAATAATATTTACTGAATAAATTCTATAGAGTAACTTAAAATGCCACTTGATAAATGTATACATTTTATTAAAGTATCTTCTTTTAAAAATCTATTATTACTTTCTTTTTCAAAAATTATTTTATTTGAATTACTGGGATTTTTTTGACTGAGTTCTTTAAACAAAGCACTGGTTTAGGGATAGAAGTACCAAGACTTTGGAGTGTTTATTCTGTGTAGAATAAACAATGTTGTTCTTTAAAAGCACTCTTCCAAGTGGTTCACAGTTGTTTAGAACATCCATTAACCCTAATAGAGATATAAAATATTAAGGAAGAAAAATATGCTTTAGTAATTGTGCTTTTGAAAAATGAACACAGTACCATCATAGTTAAGACATATCTCTTAACTATTTATAGATAACCAAGCAAGAATCTTCATATCACTGTTAGACATAAGATTTTTATTATACTAACAAATTCAACAGCTATCTTGAAATCAAGGAAACACAGAGGAAAATACTGGGGAAAAAGCTGAGAAATAAAAAACATTTGCTAAGTATTCCAGTGTGTACTTAAGTGGAGTACTTAAGATTCAAGAGTTAAGTAACATGGAATAATTTACATATATATTCATATATATTCACATGTTTGTATTTAAACTGTTTGTTATTCTCAGCCTAAAAGGCCCAGGTAAGGCAATGTTTCAGATTTGGTGGCTCAAATTTGGAAGTGAAACCATTTCAAATTTGGAAACAAGAATCATGTGACCCATAAGGGTGAGATCAAAAGTTCTGTCTTAGCCGTGGAGCTCCCTGCCCATAACTGAGAATGTCTTCCAATGTCTCTGTCCTGAGGGCATGCCATGGAGACAACAAAAAGCCAAAACTAACCGCACCTGCATTGGGATTCAGTCTTCATCCCATCCTGAGTAGTGCTCATGTGAGGAAATCAGGCTGTGACTTGTCAGGCTTTCTCCACTCTTTCCTTAAGACTAGTCACTTCAAATCATCAGGTGAGAAGGTTCCAGGGCTATTTCTGCCATTCTGAAGACATGCCTGACAATAATATGTGCTCAGGCCAACCTGAGTTTCAGCTCTGGCAGCAGTCTTTAAAGAGTGGGGAAAGGGTAATCAAATTCAGAAGAGAAAGGACCCTATCCATACAAAGTACTAAGTCCACAGTATCCTATGTATAGTGTAGTCAGATCTTCTGTTTTTTTCAACAAAGGTCTTTACACACAAAAAGTGACTGAAGTATTATGTTCCGTCTAAAAACAGACAATTATTTGTCCAAAATCCCCTCTGTCACACCCACACCAACAGTAGGATAGCAATTGCGACTGGCAACCCTTCCCACTCAGTTTTGATGAGGGAAGCTCTTTGAATCAAGACACTTACACTTCAATAAAGATCAGTACCTTGTGCAAGGAGAGGCAGAGAGCAGCCAGGAAAGGGTCCTCTTCCACGCTACTGCTTCCCTTGGGGCAAAGCTGGAAAGAACCAAATAAATGGATGTCAGCATAGGCAGGGGGACTAGTGCTTGACATGGCAGAACCTGAACAATGCTGGTAGGAAAAACAGTGATCTGAGTTAAATTAAGACTTCTCGGAGAGATGAATGGTTGTAGTTGAGGAATGTGCTCATTTATTAAGTCTACTAATAAAGAAATCAATACTTCATTACTCTTAATAATTGAAAAGTTTGAATTTAAACTTGAAGAAACACATGAGGCCACACTCTAGGGACTGAAGCACATCCATTGCTCAGTGCTCAGACTGCCCAATACACACACACACACACACACACATACTAGGACAGCAATAGAGGTCAAGTACATCCACCTTTCAAAGGGGTGGAAGTTTCTCAAGAGGGGCTGATGTTGCTGAAACAAGATATTTGAAGCTGCAGATTTATTTATTTATTTTTTATTTGTGAGGATGGGAAAAGTACAGATGCAAATTGAAGGGCAGGAAAAATAAGGCCCAAGTCCAGGAAGCATCTGTAGGACTTGGCTCCTGATGCAAGGAAAGTCCACGTTGGTTGAAACGTCAAAATTTGTCCCTCCTGTATTGTAAATTTCATTTGAAATTGTGATAATAATTCAGTAAATAATCTCATATATAAATTATTAGGATGAACAGCATGATAAATGAGGTGGCAGGGTCAGGGAAGGTTCTGTTCCATCTCCCTCCCTCCAGCCCCCAGGCAGAGAATGGACACTAAAATTTCCATGGATTTGCCAAGCAAAGCTTAGCAGAAGATAAATGCGTACATGTTGTATGACCACCTTCACTGACTACAAAATAAACCAAACCCCTTTGATCTTGGGCAGAAACTGAACATCTCTCCAACATTCTGCTGTTCCTTTAAAAGTACTCATGGTTTGGGTAAGATCACTGAATATAAATCAAAGACCATGGGAGAGGAGAAGTGGAAAATAGATCCTGAGCTATTGAAGTGTAAGAATATCCTGGCTCATCTTCTGTCTCCCACAGCTCCTGAGTTTAATTATAAAGATTCAGGGTCAATTCTTCATTGGACTCAAAGAGAAATGTTTATCGATCCATTCATTTATTGATTTCATTTAACAAAAATGTGTTATATGCCATTTTAGTCTGTTTTGTGCTGCTACAACAGAATGTATGATATTAGAGTAGTTTATAATGAACACAAATTCATTGGCTCACAGTTCTGGAGGCTGGGAAATCTAACATCGAGGTGCTGGCATCTGACAAGGGACTTCTTGATGAGTTGTAATGTGGAGGATGCTGGGAAGGAGAGAGGGAAAAAGAGAGAGACAATGGAGGAAACCCACTCCCACAATAACGGCTTTAGTCCATTAAACACCTGTAAAGGTCTCACTGCCCACCACCATCACCCTGGCAACTAAATACCGCTGTACATCTTGGAGGCGACAAACATAGCAGATGCCAAGCATGGGATAAGCCAAGATAGGATACAAAGAGCTCAGGAAGTTATGCCCTTGAATATTTTAGTCTAGGACAATGATGCACAAACACCAGTGCTAGAAGCATTTCTTCTTTGTGGGCAGTCTGCAGCAAAAATGAGAAAAAGAAGGCTCATGTGATGTGGGAATGTAAGCCAATGCAAGGTTGGGCAGGGTTATTTTTTCATTCTGATAGTATGTCTGTCCATATTTTTTTCTGTAAAAAATGTACTTCTTCTTATGAACTGGTAGAGAAGGGCTATTTGCTTTATAGTATTAATTTGAAAATTTTATGTCAGTTTAATCAATTTTTAGGTTTCTTTTAAAGATTATTTATTTATTTGAAAGGCAGAGAGTTAAAGAGAGGCAGAGGCAGAGAGAGAGAGAGAGAAGTCTTCCATCTGCTGGTTCACTCCCCAGATGGCCACAATGGCCAGAGCTGGGCTGGTCCAAAGCCAGGAGCCAGAAGTTTCTTCCAGGTCTCCCACAGGGGTGCAGAGGCTCAAGCACTTGGGCCATCTTCTACTGCTTTCCAGGCTGAAGCAGAGAGTGGATCAGAAATGGAGCAGCTGGGACTTGAACCAGCACACATATGGAATGCTGGCACTGCAGACAGTAGCTTTACACACTATGCCACAGCACTGGCCCCAGATTTTTCCATTTTACAATATTGTAATATTTGAGAATTATTCATCAAGATAACACAGGTTTGTGGGGAGCAGGGCCCAGCTCCCACAACATGGCGCTGAGAGGGAGTAAACAAGTTCTACACGGCGGCTTCGGCTGCTTCATCAGTTTGACTAATGAGTTGCAGGAGCTGACCCAACCTCTGATTGGAGGAGAACAGCGTGCTCAGCACGTGGGCAGCAGAGCACAGATTGGTGGGAGAGGACTCGCGGCGCGGGGGATTCGCTTATGCGCCGCGAGGCACCGCAGACATCTCACACCACGTGCAGAAAGAATAACAAGAATGCGGACACACACCAAGTGGAATACGGTTAGAATGCAGTTAGGGGAGCCAGCGCCGCGGCTCACTAGGCTAATCCTCCACCTAGCGGCGCCGGCACACCAGGTTCTAGTCCCGGTAGGGGCTCCGGATTCTGTCCTAGTTGCTCCTCTTCCAGTCTAGCTCTCTGCTGTGGCCTGGGAGGGCAGTGGAGGATGGCCTGAGTACTTGGGCCCTGCACCCCATGGGAGACCAGGAGAAGTACCTGGCTCCTGGCTCCTGCCATCGGATCAGCGCGGCGGCCATTGGAGGGTGAACCAACGGCAAAAGGAAGACCTTTCTCTCTGTCTCTCTCTCTCACTGTCCACTCTGCCTGTCAAAAAAAAAAAAAAAAAAAAAAAAAAAAAAAGTGAAAAGAATGCAGTTAGCACAGGAGCAAACTTGAGCGCACAACGCAGAGTCATTCACTTAAACAACAGCATCCGGTCCGGTGTCATTCTCCCGCGAGCCCGCGGAGGAGTGACACAGGTTAAAGCCTAAATAAAACCTATCAATTGATGGGGCCAGGGAACATATATATGTGTGTGTGTGTGTGTGTGTATGTAAAAGTGTTTTCAAATTACCAATTTTGTTGTAAATAAATTGTTTTGTAAAACATATTTCATGTTCACTGATTCAGAAAGTTAGAGGTCTACTAAAAGAAAAAGAAGTACTTGTTTATCTTTCAATTGTTACCTCTTAATAATGCGAATTCTGATTTTTGCCTCAATTCCCTAGTAGGTCAAAGAGTGTTAGTCTTTATCACACATGTGTTTCACCTTGGTATAATCCTGTGTCTGGAAGGTCCTATAGAAGGTCTCTTTAGGACATTCTATAATAGAGGTTGAACAGGTCAGAGTTACTTGAGGGCTTGTTCAGATATCTTAAATAGATGAAGTTTTATAATTCTATCACATAAAGAGCAATGAACATTTATTGCATTTATGAAATAATTGGTGCATAATTTAAATTCACATTTTTCATTTGAATGTACAAATGACTCTTCTTGACCCATCAGCAGGAAGACTGTGTTCTGTGTTCTCTTTCTAGTACTGGTGAGGAATATCCACTAGATAATTCAGGTCCTTATTTTCTTGATGCTTTTATAAAATGAATATTAGAGTTGGAATTCTATCTGTAGTCATCTAATAGAAGGATTCTAACTATCTCTAGTGACACAAAACTTTTTTCATTAATTTTCATTTTCCTTGACTCAAATATACCCAAAGTATCCTGAATAGTGCAAAATCAAAAACACACACTACTGCAGTTACATTTCCTTAAGACTCTAAAGTCTTGTACTACTTTGCTATTTTTGTTTTATAGATTTTAAGCTATTCTGAAATTAAAAGTTCATTTTAAAAAGTTAGCATTTCTATATTACCTTTCAATATATAAAGGATTTCATTATCTCATTATAATTCCCTCTCCTCCCCTCCCCTCCCTTTCCCAAACACACACAGACACACACACACACACACACAGAGAGAGAGAGAGAGAGAGAGAGAGAGAGAGAGAATGAACTCAGGCATAGAGAGAATCATCCACATACGGCTAGTAAGTACAAAGGGAGGATGCAAACCCATGCCTTCTGACTCCATCCCCAAGCCAGAAATAGTGTAAAGAGGGAAACATCAGGGCTACTGGCAAATGGGAGATGGGAGAATAGGGTGGAGAAGGGAAAGGACACAGGGAGGAGGATGAAGACTCAAAATGACTTAGGTTTGGTTTGGTTTTTGTTTTTTTGCTATACCTGTGCTCTACTCTAAAACGCAGTTTTTCTTTATATTATTTTATTTTTCTGTATCAGATTTGTTTGGCTTCGACAGTCATCTTGCACAAATGAAAATAATTTAAAACAGCAATTTTTACTGCTTAAAGGAAGTAAATGCTTCTCATAACTCAAGGAGAGACAGGAATGAAGGAGAACCCACGACTTTCATGCAATTTTGTGGCTATGAAAGCTTTGTTCTCCAGTGTGACATTTAACCCCCTCGCATACACATTTGACCACGGCACTGCTTTCCATGGTCATCTCCCTTGTCACCTTGCGTGTTCCTCAAACCACCCAGGACCTTCCACTCTGCATCTTTGGTCTTGCTGTGCCCTAAACCCAGAATACAAGCCCGAAAATTGATATATATTTGAAACTGATATCTCATATTTTGTGCGTTTTACTTTTTTCACTTTGAAGTAATTTTAGGCATATCAAAAACTGAAAAGTATACCAAAAATTTCCTGTTAGTCTTCATCAGTCCTCAAAGACATTGCCCCACTGATTTTTTTTTTCTGATCGAGGGTTCCACATTCGTTGTTATTGTTCCTTGGTCTCCTTTATGTGGGACATTTCCTGTGCTTTCCATGGTCCTTTTACGTCCTTGATATTTCACACAGTACTAGCAGTTATTCTGTAGGCTGCCCGGGTTTCCTCATGAGCAGGCTCAGGTCGTGTGTTTTTTACAAGACTACTTCCTTCCAGGAGATGTTGTGTGCTTCTCGGTACACTGTATGAGGAGCTATATGAGGCTGCTATGTATCATGACTGGTAATAACAACTTTTACCAACTTGCTTATGACAGCATCTGCTAGGTTTCTCTACTGAAAAAATACTGTCTTTCTCTTTGCAATTATCAAGGACCTTGGAGGTACATGTTTAAGACCATATAAATATCCTATTCCTCATCATATTTTTGCCACTACTTCTAGCATCCACCAAGGATTCTTGTCTGAAGCAATTATTAGTACAATGCTTGCTACAAGATTAATTTTTCTATTTTCATCAATTATTCTATTCAAATTGGAATACTACTGTAAGAAAAAGTGTCCCCTTCTCCCATTTACTTCTTTATTCAATTACTTATTATATCAATATGAACTTATTGTTATATATTTCATTCTATAGATCACAATCCATTACAATTCTTATTGTTTTGCTTAAATTATGTCAGATTTCACCATTGGGAATCCCCTAAGGTGGTTCCTGTGTCCTCTTGACATGTCCCCATTGATTTTTTTTTTTTTTGAGCACTTTCTTACTTTTTTGATAACACAAGATGTTGAAGACTCATCTTCCATTTTTCCTTCCCCAGTGTTGTTATTAAGCACTTCTCTAAGAGATCTGGTTCATTTCATGGGAGAATGGGATTTTACTAGGTGTGCTCATTTCTGCTGTGGTACCACTGATTCTAGATCCTCTCTGCATATAGACTAGAAAATGTTCTATATCTACACATACTACCACCACCACTCCCTCACTCTATGTATATATTTATATTATAATATATATGTTCAATCTACCTCTCTCCCTTTCTTCTCATTGATTTTTATTTTACTTTATTTTTAATTTTTACTTATTTTAATTTTTTCAAAGATTTATGTGAAAGACAGAGTTACATGGGCCAGCGCCGTGGCTCATTAGGCTAATCCTCCGCCTTGTGGCACCGGCACACCAGGTTCTAGTCCCGGTCAGGGCGCTGGATTCTGTCCCAGTTGCCCCTCTTCCAGGCCAGCTCTCTGCTGTGGCCTGGGAGTGCAGTGGAGGATGGCCCAAGTGCTTGGGCCCTGCACCCCATGGGAGACCAGGAAAAACACCTGGCTCCTGGATTCAGCCTGGCCCAGCCCCAGATGTTACAGCCATTTGAGGAGTAAACCAGCAGATGGAAGATCTCTCCCCTCTCTCTCTCTTTTTCTGTCTCTCCTCTCCCACCTCCACCCACCGCTGCCCCAGTAACCCTTTCAAATAAATTTTAAAAAAAATAAAAAATAGATTCAGACTTGTCATCCCAATACCCCTGTAAAAACAAGGAGGGTGCAATATTTGTTATGTGCATTTCTAT